CAGCCGAGACACCAAATCTTCTCCATTTCGGCCTGACTCTCAAAATTCCTGGATCCAGAGAGAAATCTCGCGCTTCCAAATATTCATGATCCCGCCATTCCCAAATGATAAACCCGCAACCAAACCCTAACGAATTCAACTGAAATGAGGTCTTCAAGGCAAACGGTCCAACTCAACCGGAATTACCATATAGCTCGTCCTGGAATAGCATTTAGCCAGAGCATTAGTTGAAACCCGCAACTCTAGATATGATGCAACCTTGTTCGGCTGCAACTCTAGCTCTATCTCCACGAAGACGCTCTGAGCATCCTCTAGAAATACTGTACATCTAAAGAAATGAAAGGAACTAACTCAACTGTGCCTTGAGCTGCTTGGTCTCCTGCCTCAAGTCGATGACCAAGCATTTGCTCGCAAGTGGCGTCCAGCTTTTTTTGTACACGTAGATGTGAAACTATGATCAAGAGTTTTGATCGTAACAATGAATGGAAAGAAAAAGAAATTAAAAATAGAAAAGAATGTAATTGAACATACAAATTACTTTTGAGCAAACCGTCAATCTAACGAACTATAACATATTTAGAATTTATAAACATTCTGAAACAATATCTTGTTTAGGAAAAGTGGGAAAAATACCAAACTTTCCAAGCACTGATTTATTATAAATAGTAAAAGCAATGCAACGACAAACAATGTTTTTTTCTTAGGAATTGCTGATAAAGATTGGAAGCAGTGAGTGCCAATTCATCCTCGACCCTGAGAGGTAGCAAAAGTGGCTCGTTCTTCTTCTGAAGTCTCATTTACCCTAGACTAATCATCAGCTGGTGTGATACAGTCATCTGGGATAAGGTGAAGCTTGACAACTTGGTTCACGTTTGAGAAACATTTTCTTTTCTTAAGCACTGCTTACTCTTGGCTTCTTTGCATGTAGATTGGACATAATGTTGTGATAGGATGCAACTGTATGATTTGTGGACAAGTTGGAATTGCTGGATCTTGCACATAAGTATGAGATCTTTCTCTTTTTCCTTCACTGCAGACTAGGTGATATGTAGTGCATTCGCTCTGCCAAGTTTCCAACTGCATACACTGCTAGCAAAGTCATTCAAGCGATCTTGTCTCTCGTTGCGATCTCTTCCAGAACATGCCCCACAGCGACTTCTACTGTAAATGCGGGAGCGTCGAGGTCGCCGAGCTTGTGTTTGAGAGCTCCATTGCGTCTCCCAACACTGTGGCATGGAATACTTTGATTGCAGGACATGGCGCTCGAGGAGACGCCATCGCTGCGTTCCAAGCATTTCGGAGCATGCGAGTAGGAAAAGATGCACTTGAGAAAAAACTTTGATGTATATTTGAGGATTCGCGCCAAACAATCTTTGAAGGGGTGATCCCTGTTGGAGTCTTGAGAGCCTTGGTTTTGCGGCTACCAGCGAGTTTACACAGTCACCGAGCTCGAGAGCAAGCTTGGTGTTGTCAACAAGCTCTCGCCAAGCTCTCACATTGGATGTTTGCCACAAAGGTTTCGCAGAGCCACCACCGATTGCTGCCATTGTATCAGAGAGGTAGCTCCACTTTTCGCTGTGATTCGGACCTGGAGAAAAGAAAGTGATGGAAAGATTGACAACATCAGGAAGCAGGAAGCGATTTCTATGTGGTCCGCAACACAAGCAGGGAAATCCCCACAGAACTCCCTTCCAGTCCCTGCCGGAGAATCTGTGCGTGGAAGAGCTTCCCGAGCTTCAAATCTCCCAGGTTCCTGCAAACTGGCAACAACGCAAGAAAGGTTTGAGAGTTTAGAGCAACTTCCAGGGCTGCATAGCATTCCAACGCAAGCTCGTCCTCGCCAATGTAAACACATCCAAACAGGAAAGAGTTCCACAAAACTATGTCGCGATCTAAGATTTTATCAAATACCCTGCGAGCGTCCATGATCAAGCTTCCACACTTGGCATACATATCAACCAGACTGCCGGATCTCTCTCCAGGCCAAGCTGCGAGATCCACGAGTGGATTTTCATTGCTTTCTCGAGAGATTCTACGTCTAAATCCCATTTTCTTCTCTGTGATTACGCTACAAGCCTTGATAGCGGCGAGACAAGCTAAACGATCGGGTTTAAATCGTTGTTCTTGCATGGAAGAGAAGAGAAGGAAAGCTTCGTCTCCATCTCGGCTCTCGTGAGCATAGCCTGTGATGATCGATGTCCAGGAAACGATGTCGTGCTGCTCCATCGAATCAAACACCCTGCGAGCATCTTCTAGACTTTCACAGTTGCCATACAAGTCCACCATCGCGTTTGCCAAGTGTATGTCTCCTCGCCTCCAACTTGAAGCCGCGAGAGCTTGATGCGTGAGAGTGAATCGCCAAAGCTCGTTCCAAGCTCTTAATCTTCACAGCCAACGACGCATCAATCTCCTCTCGCGCAGCCAGACTAGAGCAAGTTTTGATAGCTGCGAGAAAACTCGAGCAATCTGGATTGATCATAGCAGCTTCCATCTGGGAGAAGAGCTCGAGAGCCAAATCTTCCTGCCGGTTTTGAGCGTATCCCAGAACCAATACCGTCCAGGAGACAACGTCGTGGTTCTCAATCCCATCGCCGAGAGTTTCTCATGCTTCCACACTTGGCATTCCAGGAAATGTTCACTTAAACATGATACCTTTAAAATAAAAGATGCTTAAACTAAGATTCTGCCTTTACAAACAAGCCCTAGTGCTCATTCGAGATGGTTAAGCGCGAGCGCGAGCGCGAGCATAGTTTAGACAATTATATGCACAAAAAACTTAGGCAAGGGATGGATTACCACACGGTCCTGGATGAGAAACTCTGTGAGGAACACCCAGCGCTGGTAGAGAAATATAAACTAGAGAAATCGATTGGGGGTGGAGGGCAATCGACGGTGTACAAGGCATTCCGAAGGAGTGATGGGAAGGTTTTTGCGATCAAGACGGTCCATGGGCCCGATGGGCTGTTTGAAGCTCGGCTGATGGCTATGCTAGAGGTGTCACTCAAGGGTCTCGATGAGCAGGGGCTCGTCCACTTCGAGCAGCTCATACGAGAAGAGCCCAATCAGTACGGGGAGGTGTACCACCTTGTTCTTGAGCTGTGCAATTGCAGCCTTCACGACCGGATCAAGTACAAGGGGCAGCTTGATGAGGAAGAATCTGCAAAGATCGTCATAGCTCTCGCCAAGACGCTAAAGAGGGTTCATGACAATGAGATCATCCACTGCGACCTGAAGCCCGCGAATGTTTTGCTGAAGTACCCGCGGCCTGGGATGTTCTATGTCCCAAAGGTGTCCGACTTTGGGATGGCTTGCTGGATGGAGGATCCGTGGAACGAGTGTGGGGCTGGGACGTGGGATTATATGTCCCCCGAAGCGATGCTCGATGGGTGCTATATCACCGCCAGCGATGTGTGGGGCTTAGGGATGCTGCTTTACACTTGTCTCACGGCAATTTGTCCGTTCCCAAATATGGATGTGGAGGTGGTATTTAAGAATGCACGCAAGCGAGATCGAAGTTTAAGGAACCTCCATCACAATTCTATGGATTGGGATAGCATTCCATCCCTTTCTGCAAGGCAGCTTATCCAAGGCATGACGGAATTGGATCCCGGAAGGAGGTTTACTTTGGAAAAGGTCCTCGAACATGAGTGGATAAAGAAATATTTATAAAAATAATGTTGCTCTTACATAAGGACCATGTAAATCTGCTAATGTGTGAATTAAAAAAAATATAAAAGATTGCTCTTACAGATTCTTTTTCTGAGGAGGAGCCGCACAAAAAGCCTTGATGATGGTCCACCCTCAGCGGGATATCAACTGCTCTGCAGGATCAGGCCGGTCCCCCACTTCCATTGAAAAGGAGAGAGCTCTTTTGTTTCATCTTGGCAATAGGAGATGAAGCATGGGCTGCTCCAGACGCTTCAATCCAGCAAAGTCTGCAAGGATTTTGGAGCACCACCAGCTTGCTGCTCTGAACTGCAGTTTTGTGTGTTGCATTTCTTGTCAGTTCCAAGGAGAGAGGTCCAACTTGAAAGCTTTGATGTAATCTTGTAATAAATTGCTACATGTTGCATCGCTTGGTTTTTTTAATAATCAAATAAAGTTTATAATTATAAGCATGTTTGTAATTTATAAATATAAGATTAATCTTATTGCATATCAACCATTAGATGATAGAATAAAAAATAATATACTAGAAAGAGTTTAAGAAAGTTTAAAAATTATAGACATGTTTATAAATTATAAATACAAAATTAATCTATATGAGTAACAACCGTTAGATGATAGAATATCCTAGAATATCCAAGCATTTTCTAGGTATATCCATTACCATCTAAAACCAAAAATTGTAATATAATTTATGATACTGACCCATCCAAAATTTTTTTTATATAAGTTTATTCTATAGTTTACTCAAAACCTCTTGTTAACAACAAGGTCAAAATATGGAGATATCGAGCTCAACTGCACCCTCATCAATTAATCAGTAGTTCCATCACAATTAGAATGAAGGATCATTAGCGTAAGCCATGGAGAATGAAAAAGAAATGTGATTTGTGTAAGAAACACTGTTTAATAATTAGAAACAGCCACCATCAGAATTTGCAACAGTAGCAACCAGAAATAAGGGTGTAAAAAAGACCTTTATTTGTCACCCTGGGAAACGAGTGAGAGAAGGAGAAACCGAGTGAGAAAGCATGGTCATGGTGTCACCGACTAGAATCTCCTAACATGAGACCAAGGAATTGGAGTCTGTTGCAATGCCCCGAAACGGACACACAATGTTTTGTTCCAGTTATTGTCATGTGACAATAACTGTCACATCGAAAACCGTGTGGGAAAACATGGCGGCCCTCCTGCCAAGATCTAGGCTGAGATTCAGCTACAATGCGGGGAAGCTTGGCTATAAACCTTCTCTTGGAGAACTGCTAGACTGTCAAACAAATTTCTCTCAGAGATGTTACAAACACTCCAGGATGAACTACTATTCACATCACTGATTATTTCTGCTCGAAAATGAGTTTTTCTGTTTCAGGTGTCATTGTTCCTAAGGAAGAAAGGTGATCAGTCAATGCAGAAAATCGATTTATGTCTGCTTGGAAGCTTTTTTCTGTTCGAGCTCGCTCCACATTGGCACCTGTGGAAGGGTGAAACTAGGAGATGAAAACAGACATTAATCACAAAATACCTGCAAATGCTTGAGCATCCTTTTATCGCTTTGCCTGACATATAGAAGCATGCATGCCTTCCAGCTCAAAATGGTCAGAAATGTAAATGCAGCTTAAGTCTTAAGAAGCATTTCACACCAAGGACATAAGAAACTTATTTTCGTGCTCAATGAAATTATGCCCAGCCAGTTTTTTGGTTTTTTACTGGTAAATAAAAAGCCCTGATTAATAAGCACAAGATCTGGATTGGACTTTGGAAATCAACAATCGGCTGCAAGAGTTCGGCTGCAAGTGGCACGAAGCACACGCGATCCAGATCATCCAAGGCCTAGACTAATGCAATATGAACTTAAAGCATAGCATGGGGAAACTCTCATGACTCGGAGCGGTGGCAAAAGGGACTCTTTTGTATTTGGCAGAAAGCCTGCGCAAGAAAGTGAGTAGTGACAAGACGAGAAAAAGCACATAATACCTTTAGAAAGTGGAGTCTGCAAACACTCCGGCAAAGGTCTCTCTCGATCGAGCATCTTTACTTCCAAGATTTTTGGAAGTTCTATAGCTCGGGCTAGACTGTGTAGGCTTCGGGGTTTTCCTTTGAGAAAACAATCTGTAACATGACATCCTAGGAAGGATAATCTAAACAATACCAGGCTTCTTTCCAGAGACCGATCTTAAGCTTCGTGTATCGTTTCCAGTCTTCAGTCTCCTTGAATCCGACTGGGAGACCTGTCAAGTCAAGAGGAGATCTTAAACGATGGAGCATAGATAGAGTTGGAGAGAATATCAGCAATCTAGCAAGAACCCTAAATCCAACGGCGTAAATTCAAAGAGCTCCCGCCAATAGATATGATCTTAGCTCTCATAAACATGAGCCATCAACAAGTACGCTGACGATTTCACCCTCACATCCATTCCAACCAACGCATCAAATGCTTCACTTCCAACTCTCGTGTTCTTCCACTTCCTACAAGCGCTCAAGATCGTCATCCAGGTCACGACACCCGCTTGGAAAGGCATCGATCTCACAATCTCCAGCGCCTCCTCCAGATGGTTTGCTCGCCCCCTATCAATCATGCAGTGGTAGTGCTCAATCCCATACTTCTCTCTTTCGGTCCAAACAATCGTTTCCCTCGCTCCACAAGCCCGGCATGGCTACATGCGGCTAGCACACACAGCAGGGTCACACCTCCCGGCCTCATGCCAGTGTCCACCATCGCCTGGAACGTCACAAACACGAACTTCACGTCATCTTGGCGGCCATAGCCGGACACTAGAGCCGTCCATGCAACCACGTCCCGCGCGGCAACCATGGAACCATCAAAGACACGCTGAGCGTCGGCCATGGTAGCACACTTCCCATAGAAGTCGATCAAACCGGTGACCACGATGGTATCACCCTCCAGTGCATGCCGGCAAATCTCGCCATGGAGACGTCGCCCAGCTTTGCTCGAGGCGATGGATCCGCACGCCTTGAGTGCTGCCACGAGCGTCCACTGGTCGGGCTCCACTCCCTCGTCCACCATCGCGAAGAACACCACCAGGGAGCTCTCGCCATTGCCATTCTCGGCGTAGCCGGAGACGAGCCCCGTCCATGACACTACATCGTGGCTCTCCATTTGATCGAAGGCCCTGTGCGAATCCTCCATGCTTCCAGCTCGCGAGTACATATCGATCAGGCTGCTGGCCACTAAAAGATCTCGATCACACCCGGCTTCCGTAGCTCGAGCATGAACAGCCATGCCTTTCTCCAGGCTTTCGATCTTCACAGCTCTTCCATCAAAGTCCCTGGCTTCTTCTCGCGATGCCAAGTGATTGCAAGCCTTCACAGCAGCAAGGTAGCTCAAGCTATTTGCCACAACGCGTGGTTCTTCCCTGTGCGTGGCCGCGAGTAGCTCGAGCGCCATAGCCTCGCCATCATTCTCGGCATAGCCCAGCATGATCGTGTTGTACGAGACCACGTCCCGTGTAAGCATTGCATCAAAAACTCGCCGGGAATCCACCATAGTTCCACACTTCGCATACATGTCGATCAAAGTGTTCCCCACGAAAACGTCCCTGGAATCGCAGCCACTGTTCACAGCTGCGAGGCGATGGATCACCATTCCAGTGGTGAGAGTGCGAAACTTTATCACACTTCCGCCTTGCTCCTCCTCGGCAAGGCTGCTGCAAGCCTTGATCACTGCCACGAAAGTCCAAGCGTTTGCATGGTATCCCTGGTGAACCATGCACAAGAAGAGCTCCACCGCCACCTTGTTCTCGCCATTGTCACCATAGCCGAGTATCAACGCTGTCCACGAGACAATGTCGTGGCTGGCAAAGCGCTTGAAGATCCTCCTTGCATCCTCCATACTCCCACACTTCATATACAAATCCACAAGTCCGTAAGCCATGAAAGCATCCGACTCAAATCCACTCTTGCGAGCTTCGTGATGAACAGCCATGACGGTCTCAAGAGCTCACGGCTTTAAATCCCACAGGCCATGGAATATTTTTAGAATATTTTTGTGGTTTGTGTCATTCTCCCTTCCCTCATGACCCAACCATATATGGCAACTTCGAGAAGCTAAATGAGCCTCACATAGGCAATATGGCCATGGAGAAAAGATGTGCAAACAGCAACACCAACGTCGCGACAAATGGTCACGAAAGAAAGAAAGAAATACAGCTTTCTCACATGACAATATGGTCATGGAAACAAAAGAATAAGAATAGAACAAATGGCTCAAAGCATATAACAATATAGCTATAGAACTCAATTCTCCCATTCCTCAGGAATGTCATCCAAGTCATAACCAAAACTCGAAAACACTCTCTTCATATCATCCTCAGTTTCTCATGTAGTTTTGTCCATGGAATAGCCATTCCATTGAACTAACAACTCCTTAGTTGTCTTCTAGCGTGTTTTCACTAATCTTTGAGCAAGAATATTGGCTGGACTAGCCTTCTCTACATCAATCTCTGGGACCTGGATGATGGATTGATCCACTACATCACCAAAGTGCAAACACACTTTAAGCTTGCTCACATAGAATGTTGGATAAATCTTCGAGCTAGTTGGCAAGTCCAAAGTGTATGCAAGATCCCCCACATGCTATAAATTGTCCAAAGCCTACAATATTGTGGAGACAACTTAGCACTGCCATCTCCTTTTAGAGACTATTGTGCATTTGACAACTTAAGGAATACCTTGTCACCAACTTTGTACTTTTGATGACAACAATGTTCATCAACTAATCATTTGCCTCGCTCTTGAGCTTGCTTTATGTTTAATTTTGCCAACTCAAGATTGTTTTGCATATCCAAGAAATCACAAGCATGAAGTACCCGAACCAAAGCCAAATTCAAACTCATCGAAGACCTAGGCTCATAGCGATACATCGCCATAAAAGAAGACATGCCAATAATTGATTGATAAGCACTATTGTGAGCAAATTGAAGTAAAGGCAAGTATTTCTCCTATACTCCCTATCGAATCAAGTTTCCCACAAAAGACCTCAACATATCTTCTAATAGCTGATTCATATGCTTTGTCTACCCATCTGATTGTGGATGCTCACCACTACTCATACTTAGCTTAGTCTTTAGTTCTCAAAGACCATTTGCCAAAACTTGGACGTGAACTTGGGATCCTGATCAGACTCGGCAAAACATAAAGATTGAATAACCAGTCTACAAACAACTGAGCAAGTTCAGAAGTTTTTATCGTCGTCTTTAGCAGGAAGAAGTGAGCTATCTTCGTCAAATAATCCACAACAACCCAAATAGCATCATTTCCTTAAAAGGTTTTGGGCAAACCAGTGATAAAGTCCATCGAGATGTTATCCCACTTATTCTCAGGTACACATAAAAGATGATAGAGGTTAACGAGCTTTTGATGATTAACTTTGACCACTTGGCAGGTCAAACAACCATGTATGTACTTCTTAACATTTGGCCAAAAGAAATGCTTCTTCACCAACATATACGTTTTTAATACCCCTAGATGCCCAGCATTTGGCATATCATGACACCCAACCAAAATTCGTTTTGATGAGTTTGTTAACATGAGGAACCATTATATGTCCCTTTTACACTAGGATTCCATCTTGTATTTTGAATGACGCAAATTTGTTCAACAAAACTTTCACATGAATATTAGTGATAAAGCAGTCGAAGTCAACAAACTCCTTAAGCTCATCTAAGAGATCGCTGGATAGCTTCATGAATGAGATAGAATTTATCATCCTAGATAATGCATTAGCCATCTTATTGTCACCTCCATGCTTGTACCGGATCTTAATAGATATTTTCTGCAGGAACTCTTGCCAATGAGCAAGGCGACCTCAAAGATCCACATCTGGAGAGACTGATGATCTGAATCTACATGGAAGTTCGATCCATATAAATAATGTTGCCATTCCTTCACAATAGCAATTATGATATACAACTCTTTGTTGCGAGTAGGTTAATTCTACTGTGTGGCATTAAATTTGTGGCTCATGAATGTGAGAGAATGCCTAATTGGAAGTAATATAGCCCCAAAAACACATATAATTTCCACTATAGTCATCTTATCATTCATTGACCCCTTCAAAACAATCTTTTCTCTGACATCCAGACCTGTGGCAACGGAAACAATTGCCCTCTGCCTTGTCTTTTTCTCACTAGTGTAAATGAAGTTTCGTAGCCTTAATGCCATCTTCATTCTTCGAGCCACAATGGAACAACGGCTGTTTCATTCCCAAATATGAAGCATTGGCGAGTTGGTCATCACGTTGACCACCCCGTAGACCATCCTGTTGACCATAATTGACCAAGTTGACTGATAGTTTGGGTGAAAAGATCTAAGCTTTAGTGATAGCATTAGTCAATGTTGCTAGAAAATCCTTCTTAACCTCCACTAAGCTCAATCCTTTGATGAAACATTGCACCTTTAGCAACTCATTATAGGTGCCCGTAAGACTACTAAGGCAAAGATCACGGAACTTGTAGGCATACGCATCTAAAGACAAAGTCCCCTGCCGGATCTCTAACAGCTAGTTCACAAGATCAACCTCTTCAAACTTTTTGACAAATGAAGTGTGGAAAACTTTTGTCAAATCAATCTAAGAAGTTAGTTTTGAATTAGTTTTGATGTAGTTCTTCCACCACGAAGAAGCACTTATCGTCACAAAAAAACCTATCTTCACTTTATTCTCATAAGAATTGTGAGACCAACAACTTTCTCACAATTCCTGGTATTGTGGAATATAAATCATTACTAAATGTTTGTGATAGTCAAAAGGTTAATTCTTGGTTTAATCTTTGGCATGCCTGACATACCAATGGTAATCACGGATATGAGTGTGATTCAATGGGTCCATGCAAAGCAAAAAATCTTTAATAAAATTGATAGAATCTTTAACTTCTTTTATGTCACTCTAAATCTTAGAAATCTAGTGTCCTTACCGCACAACGACATTATCAAAAGTCTCTTTTACATCATCAACGCCATACTCCTTATTAGGATCAATATCTTGCTCACCTGCCACCCCTAAAAGAATGTGCTATCTTATTACCAATGAAACGAATAGAAGAGTGAACTTTAGGCCAACCTCTTAATCCTTAAGGCGTTAGAGCCTTAAATCCCACCTGCCATGGAATATTCTGGGAATATTCGTGTGGTTCGTGTCACATTTCGACAAGGCAGCTCTCCACGAAAATGGATCCACACCTCCTCTCCAGCGCCTGCGAGTGGATTGCCATTCCAATCTCCAGCGATCTCGTCTTGGAAAGCCGTGGCAATGCTAGAGCATGCCTTGGCCGCAGCAACAAAAGTTCTCGAGTTTGGAGTCGCGCATTGGCGAGAAGAGGGAGAGCGCCGCCAATCCATTGTCGTTCTCTGCGTAACCGAGCATGAGCGCATTCCACGAGACAATGTCATGGCTGGGCATGGCGTCAAATACCTCTCGTGCTTCGCCTATGAGGGAGTACATGTCCACCAGGCTGCTGCCCACGAAGAGATCGCCCGCCACTTCACTGGCTATGGCGTCGGAGTGGAGCTCCCGCCTCCTCTTGGCATC